ATTCTACAACATTGAATGAACTTCGGTGAAAATTAAGGATTAGCCCAGTAAATTTAATTGCCCTGTTCAGTACATATTTGCAGTAAAGATGAAAGAGATTTTCTATGAATTTCACATGACTTTTCATCAATGTAATGCATAACATGCCTTTACTAACACGAGATCAGTGATTTTTCTTGGATATTAATCTCCGTGCATGAATTATCAACCTCACCACCTTCCAACTTGACTTCATGCCGTAATTGACCATGATTTCAGTCACAACCTCGTGATCCTTCCCCCTCTCAACTTCAACCTCACGACCTTGTGTCTTCCCTTCACCCTGGCTTCTCAACATCAACAATTCTCCCATTAAAATAAATAACAACATGCTTTCAGTCTCGCAAATCGATAAAAAAAAGAACTACCACAAAATGCATAACACTTCGATCAATCATGCAATTATCGTTATTTCCCACAATTTCAATAATCCCCACGCAACGCGTAAACAAGTCAACATGTGCGTATACAGCGTGAAGTCAATATTTCAACCCCGATGAAGGTTTTAAAAAGTGTCAAGGCCGGCTGTTGCTTTTCCGTGAGGCATTTGTAACCCAGTGACACAGCGATAGTGATTCCAGTGTAATGCCATTTACGGGATGACTCTGAGTGAAGACCACTGTTGTATAATAAATTAATGAGGCGCCACGCTGGTGCCGTTCAGTCAGTGAAACAATCATTTTCACGCCGATGACCCTGTCTTCTCCTCAACCGAGACTGTTCCATGTTCCTGTTCTATGTCCCTCCCTCACCTCATCGCCGAGTTATTAATGCACCCGGTATTTAACAGTATGACTCATTGTTTTATTCCCTCGCACTAGAGTGCCCGATACGAGACGAATTGCAATGTTTTTTTTTCCCTCTTGGATGAAAAAAAAAATCAACATGAATCACGCAGACGCGTGCGTGACGAGTCCGACGAGTCACGACATGATGTGCCACGAAATTTCGTAGAAATTCACCGCATCTTTTTTCTCTGTTTTCCGGAGCTTATCGAGATGTGACACTGTCGCTTGGAACAGCTTCCGGTGTGCGCACGCGTGGAAATCTTTATCGTTTCGCCTTGACGTTATCAATTTTAGAATTTAATTAAGGCCTTCGAGAGTAATCACAATGGTTGGGAATAGACCACCGAGTTTTTCTATTATTGTTCTGCTTCTGATTGTTTCGGCGGTAATTCGGAGCTCGTTTACACTAGAATCTCCGGGTAATCTCTACTTCCGAGAGAATTACCCATAATTAACAAACCGAGCATTCATTGATGATCTAGAAAGAAATATAAATAATAAAATCAATTTTGTATTCTTCTCAGCGAAAAATAGCACGACAATTTCAAATAATTGCGTTCTTTTTATTGCGTATTACGTGAATTGTTGGGTAATATTAAGAGAATATTTGTGTCTGTGTGGATGATTAAATGAATCTGCTTGTCTATTTTTTCCCGAGAATCACTCAAGAACAAAAGACGCGATAAAATGAGAGGAGACAACCCGCTGGGTTGGGAATCCAGTCGTTGGAGAACCTGAATGAAGGAGAGCGAAATAAGAAGCGAAAAGATGAACGAAAATAAACGACGAAACAACTTGGAGATACTCGTGGAAGTTGGTTGTACTTCTCATCTTGCGACGCAGGTGGACTGTTGAGATACGAGGAATGGGAATATCAATCCCCTTCTCTCGGGTTAAAAAGAGATGACCAGGTGATGCAGCTCGTTTCCTCGACTCGGTGCACTGCGCTATTAAGTTTCTTTCGTACACCCGTTTGTTAGCATCAATGTGCGGTTATTCATGTTTGCAAGAGGACAGGAAGCGACCAGTTGATCTTCACCCCCTTCTCCCAGGATGGGATTCAACAATCTTCCGGGAAGACAACATATTACGATCCCATTTATTCCACGTAATCCACACCGACATTTAAACTATATTTTTGCTTTATACTTGCCGCGAGAATTCAACTCCAGCTGATGTTTTTTCACAGAGATTAAATATACAAGTTAACTCAACATATTTTTTTTACCTTCTAGCATCTTCATAAAATGTTGAATATTTTTTCCCCGCGTTTTCATCATAAAATTGCCATTAGGGAATGGAAAAATCCCTGAATCAGATGATAAACATTACAAGAATAATCTTCTACTGATGCTTTTTCTACAGCACTTCTTCATTCGTAAAAAATCCATCCACACATCCATTTATTATAGGAATGGAAACAATGAAAAAATTGAATGCTAATTGAAATTTATACCCAACACAGCGGGAGGAATTATTGAAGTCATCCTCGCAGGTGGATTCAATCCGTCATTGTGTCAACTTACAACTGGAAAAATACTCTTGAAATTAAGCAAAAAATATGGGAAGAATCTCCTGTGACTAATTCCATTTCCGATAAAAAATATCTTCTGATATGCCTAGCCGTTCCCTCCAAATCAATACTCATTCCAATGATTCGATATTTATAACAAAAACATGAAATTCAGCTTCGCCAATAATTCCCCAACTTTTCACGATGGCGCGCATAAAAAAAAGAATAATTGAAATTCACAAGCACCACAAGACTAATTATTGTCATTATCTCCACAATCATTCCATCTATCATTACGTCTAGCCATAGGAGGAAAAATCACGTTTTTATGCGTTCGCCAGTTTCACCCAATCATCGGATTCATTGAAACGAAGAATAAATTCCACCAGACAACTGGACAAAGAATGAACAAGGAAGAACGATGAGAATTGCAATTCAAAACACATTTGAAAAATGAGAAAATGCCCCTGCAAAATACTATTTAGCGTCAATGCTCGCGAAACGGACCCTGACCTCTTTCGCGAACCCTCGCACTCCCTTTTCCGGATGCCGCTGGAGAGATAGCGGTCCCGACGGCACCACCACACGCTCCTATTCCTTCGTCTTCCAACCCCCTCCCACCCCCCACCCACCTCTCAGTATTTTGCCTTCCAGCACGGCACAGATTTTTTTCCTTTTTTCCCCTTTTTTTTCTCTTGAAACTCTTTCTTTTTCCTACAACTCGACGTATCGGGCGTGTCCACTCATTATTCCCGGCGCCGGATTATATGCGCTAGTGCCCCCCCCCCCCTCTTCCCCTCCCCCTCATCTTGACATGGCACACATATATGTACCCATACGGGCGAAGCATTTCCCACCTCTTCCGCCCCCTTCAGTTGTATATACTTGGAAAAATGTCGAGTACATAGTCCATACGCTACATTTTATATAGCCCATGGGTTGAGTAGATCAGTATCGGGGAATACCCCCCCGGGGGGGGGGGGGGGGGGCTCCACTACTATTTCAGTGCAAAAGTACGGATTCTATGCATCCACACTGCATGTGTACTCTTTTTTACTCTCCAATTATTGTCGTCACTCGGCTGCGCACTGACACGACACGGGGTAGAGACAGCGCCGGCTCGTGGAGACTTGTGGAGGTGAAAGAGGGTTTTTCGGGTTAAATTCGTGGGTTAGTAGTGGACCAGGTAATTTCACCTATGTTTTTGACCTGTTGGATTCAAGATATAGTTGGTTCGGATTAATGTCTCCCAAATCTTGTGATTTTCAAAGCATCAAAGTGCGTGATTAACACCTAGGGTCAAAACCGCAGCTGATGGCGGTAAGGAATCTTGGGTCAACTTCGCCTGTTACTCGACCCATTGGATTCATTGGAACAGAATTGTGACGAAAACTGTGGATCAGATTCTACGAGTCTGAATGATTTGGCCAATTAGGAGGGTATCTCATCAATGATTATTAGGTTGAGCATTGGGTCAACCTATAGGGATTAAATTTATTTGACCCAGACGATGTAACTAGAGCAACGCAGGTGCATCCCAACGATGGCACAAATGATTTTACTAATTACACCGATATATCGCTGGGTGGAACAGTAATTGTTGAATTTTTAAAATTGGAGGGTGAAAATCTGTAGGTGAAATGTTGTGGGTCAAAGTAGTTTGGGCCACGTGACTTATGACGTGATTGACATTTAGTGATTGTAAAAGTCTTGAAAAATGATTTGATAAAATGGGGTGACACCGTGTGGGTCAAATAGCTATCGTCGAATTATCAGGGTCGAATGAATGATCGCGCGATTGAATCTGCCGTGCAAAGTGCAACAGTATCGGTACGTGACTCCTCTGCCTCTCCACATCCGACTATTAAAAAGCCACATTTGCTGATTGCATGATCAATTGAACATCTCCGAATGGCTTTTTTCTCATCTTTTTTATTTGATGCTTCCCTCTTGGCTCATTCTTTGATCTGGTATTTTTATTCAACTGCTGTTTATACCGTGTATAGACGTAGATGGGTGGAATAGGTGCCTATCCGTACACCGTTCATTTCCTCAATAGCTCCTCGCACGTGATCTTGGCGCCGACTTGGCGCTTTCAACCGTCAATTTTGTACGCTCTGTCGTTTTTTCCACTTATGTATATTTCTTCCCTCCACGTCAACTGCCATTCGATATACCGGCCAATAACAGATCATCGATGTTATACTACGTGGCTCTTGACCGGTATATAACGATTATTTATTAGCGGAACTTCTGTACCTCCCACTGCACCAGCAAAAAATAACAAAACGCCCCGATAGGGGATAGTAAATTTGCATTTTTAATATCTTTCAATTGACGTGCTATTTTATTTCAATATCGCGGTGTACTAATTTTAGGAATTATTCCGAATAATTGCGTAGGATGGAATGCTCATGGATTCGTGATATTTTCTCACTATTTTTCCAGGGATTTTCGCTATCGATTCCGTGATTCATTTATTCGGAGAAATTTATGATGGAATTCAATTACACGTGCGCTAAAAAAATAACTCATTCGAGCCGACTAATCGGTTTGACTCATCCTTTTTATAGGCTTGATTATGTTTATCGATTTATTGGAATGTTTGAAGAGCAAGGAGAAATACTGGGAGTTGTTTAAAAAATTCTTTACTTGTCCTTCTGCAACGATATTAATTTACAAAAAAAATTGTCACGGTATAACAGCCGTACATTACTCAGACGTAGGTGGTATCCCCATCGGATCGTTATCAATACCCCTCTGTTTTCCGATCGGTGCGTAATTGAGCATACGCTGAAGATTCAATGCGATAAGCTGACTCCACTTGTTCCTCTACCCTCGCATTTTCATGGCTCGTTCCACTGTTCAGATACACCATTCTCTGTGGAAATCGCACGTGATCTTCCCAGATCGGGTAATCTCCCGGCATCTTCTAGTCAGTCATCACTTTTTCCCTCATTCCGCGCTATCAGCTTCATTCTCTTGAACCGATTCCAAAGGTTTGCTCAACCGTTCGACTGCATGTACCAGGCGTTTTTTCAGTTTTGCCAGATCTCGTGCTGTGTCGAATTTGTTCCAGGTCAGCTGTCTGGTTGATGGCTCGTTTTCCGGCTTCCTAGAGGTCACACGTAAGAGTGCGAAGAGGGCTACGTCTGCCACTTCCTCCCAATCCTAGAAAAAGAAATGCACGTTCGGTTGGAATCACAAGAAATACTGGGAAATCGGTTATTTGCCATTTCTTTTCATTTCCACTTTTCTCACACCTTTGAGTGTTCTAACGTATCATTTACAGAATGAATTTGTGCGAAATTAATCATTGGTCGAAGAAGATATTCAATTCTCGAAAGAAATGACTTTCCGCCCCCTAAAGTCATCGATCTATAGTTCAGAACTGATTGTCAAAAAAATTCTTTTATTTTTGCTTTTTCGATAGCTTATTTCAGCATTTTAATATCACCTACAGGATTAATCTATACGAAATCAAAGGTTGGTTGATGAAACTATTAGAGTTCACATTCCATATGATTACAAAAATTAATCTTATATTTTGCCGTGTGCTTATGATATTATGAGAACATTTTTCTCATCTCGAATTATAAGAAGTGCGTGGATAAATGTTGAGATATTTCGTTTTTCAGTCTACCCATCAGTAAAATAATACCACCTTTGTAGGCCTTTGGAAAAATGTCACTTTCCCCCTCCAAAAGTCTTGTACATTCAATCCATAAATTAAATTGAATAACACCCCTTTCAATCGTCACCGTTCACTAAAGACCAACAAGAAGCCAAAATATATTCAATAAAGAAAGAGCGAAATAAAAACTAATGAGTACCGGGTATCCTGTCTCAAAAAACCTCCAAGATTAATTGGATAAAGGGTTGAAGAATTATTCGATTACAATCAGCATAAAAATATCCAAGAGAGACGGCATCGGTGGGTGCAAGAAACCCTTCACTGAAATGGACATGTTTTTCATTTCATATATAATGAAAAGAGCATTTCTCGTTAAATCCACAGGAGCGATACAAATCCATTACACGTGCGTGTTACATTCCCGTATATCCATCTTATATATAATTCCACGCGTGCCTCGTCATTTCGTGGTGAGCATCGCGGTGGCGGGACAAAAAAAATTAAATGAGTTCAAACGAAATGGAGAGGGAGAAATAATGCAGCAAAGTGTTTTTATCTGAGATATCAACAGCCAATCTTTAGGGGCTATTGTTATAGATGATTATGTGGGAATTTTTTCAAGTACTTACAACGTCGTTACGGAGTTGTGGCTCAAAACCAATGGCCGACTCGAGTATCGCGTATTTTTCGTCGTTTACATTGGGTCGAATCAGCAGTAGCAATAACCTCACAGCACACTGTAAACCATGACCAGCTCTCGAGCGTTCCTGGAGAGTGAGAAAAGCCAAGATTCAATTCATCACTTGCCACTTGCTAAATTTTCTCGGGTAAATATACAGGCAGAGGTGTGGAAAACATGAAAAGCGTCGAATGGATTTTGTTGGATTGGATTTGAATCCTAGAGACCAATCCTCAACCGAGTGATTTCCTCTTATTTCTCCTATTTCTTCCATTAAGAATGATAAACTCTGATTTCTAACAGCTTCTCATGACTTTTTCATTCCAAGAAATAACTTGAATAGAAAAATAAAATAAAAAGGTTTGTCGCCTCGTGAGTCACCCACTATCTTGACCCGTACGATTTGACCCACGAATGGGTTAACAGACTCATCACGAATAATTGAACGATAATTGGAGATATTATTTACTACTTGTGCTGCCTCTAGCTCCTGTAGATGAGAAAACATTGCACGATATGTTGATTCGAGCAGCACTGGAAGCCCCGTGGCACCGAGGGATCGCACATTTCTGTCCCGAATTCCTTGTAGAATTTTCCGCTCGATGTTTCTGAGTTGAGTTGTCAGCAACGCTATCTCATTCTGGAAGAAAAACCCCAATGTAGATCTATTGCTCATTACCATGTCTTGGATTTTTTCCAATGGAAATTATCTGTTTACTTGATGAACTTTTTTCTAGATTAAAGAGCGTGAAATGGTTGTTGACAAATCGAAAAATCAACTCACCGATATTGCTTTAACCCTCTGACGACTCCCAAAATGCGCCTCAACCTGAGATTGAACGAGTTGCAGATGATTCTGTCCAATAGACGTCACAATATTTCCGGGTGATCTAGATTTGAGTCTTGTCACCATCTGCTGTAGCACAAGGGTCATCGACAGTGGATCATTAGATTGTACTCGATAACGATTTGTACTGGCTCCAGCAACAATCGTGACAACGTGATTGGTATTTAAAACCCGTAGACCAAGTGCATTGGATGAGGGCCGCTGTGTAGTGTCCACGATGAATTCTGTCGACGACGACAATAACTTTCATAATTGAACTTTGCCCCAAGCATTATTTGCACGTTTACAATCCATCGATGAATGATTTTGAATAGATATACACTCAAGGGTCCCCGAATGATATAAAAGAAATGAGAATTTAATGATGTTAATTTGATTTTGTGCTTCTTCATTATAATTTTTTATTCTTCTGGCGAAATTAAAACTGTCATAAAAGTCAACGGTACCATTGACCGATGGGTTATATTGAAATTAGCTGAGGCATTATGTACCGGGGAAGAGTTGGCTGAAATTTACGAGGGGATCCAGGCACTTAATCGTGACCGAGAAGGACGCGTTAGTCTCGGGTGGACAGGCCCGCAGCATCATTCTCAATGGCAATTGAATGGGTTTTTGGAGGACACGAAGTCCACCGTTGTCTGTCTCGTATGAAGCTGTTATACGGGCTTCTGATGACAATGGAGGCAGAATTTCATTTATGTAAATTGTTGTTTGAATTACTTGACGCTCACCTGGTGAAGCAGAAGAAGTTATTATTTGCAAGTTTTATTGGTAATCAATTACTAAATTAAGCTTGCCCAACAATGTTAACCCAATACTTACTTTACCCATAAATTTAACCCACAATATTTACATTCCCAATTATCTAATTTACCCTAAATTTCCCCCAAAATACATTCTCAGTAGTCAATTGACAGTATCTAATCCTCAATAATTTCTGGGTGTTGGTTGACCCATACTATTGACCTACAAATTTGACCCCCGGATTTATGAATTTATTGATTTGTGGATTTATGAGATGAACCCACGAAATGTTGTGACTCGAATCAAATTGAATTTATCTAGTCGATTCATCCAGATTGTGTTCTATGAGAAAGTTATCGATGCGAAGTCGACTCACGTAGAGCTGGAAACACATGATATCCGTTAGTAACCACCAATGGCCGCAAAACTTCAACATTGACCTCAACATTCGTCAGCGGAGTGTAGGACGAAACTTCAATGTTGATCCGACACATTGAATCTTGCTCCCCCTCATTCTCTCCAATCAGCGGGGCTTTTTCGAGATCCTTTGAGATATCAATTGTCATTAGAAGTTCAGATTCCATAGTAGCTGGTGATAGTTCTTTATCTAAAATGTAAAAATGAAAGATAATGATTTTGTCGATTGTATAATTATCAAGTGGATTCTCACCGGCGGTGGTGGCACTTTTGGTAATTTTTCTCATCTCAACGAGCTCATCCTCAGCTGCTTTGTAATCAAATCCTCGTCGATGAATAGGCGGAGCAACGAAAAGAGACGGCTCGGCGCCGAGGTAGCACGCCTCGAGTCTTCCCTCCTCCGAAAGAATCACGATGACACCCTCCAAATGCTGGGGGCAAATGAGGCGAGAGTATAATTACAATGAATTCGTGGAAGGAAATGTCCAAAGAACACACCCGGTGATGATTTCATCTAGAATGCTTGGCGAATTGTTTCCTAATTTCCCACGGCCGCTGATTGTTTCACTGTTGATAATTTTTTATTCGTCGTATTTCACGCTGACGATTCGGGGAAAGGCCCCGGGGATCTATCAACGAGTTGTCTTTTTTTTTCGTGAAGACATCTATTTAATGTTTCTTCTTTTTCTCTTTCGAAGCCATCTCGACGAAAAATTCGAGGTGGCCATTAGCTTATCGGGAATGGGGTCGGGTGTCGGCATTCGGTCTCTCACCGAGATTGCGTTTCGCTTTGGATTTTACTATCGTTAAGGAATCTTCCACCCGGTTGACCGATCTCCCTCGGCATTTATCTCTTATTTTTGTTGAATTTTGCCTCTCGATTTAGTGATTCCCCGGTGAATCCTATGCGGCTTTTATGACATACCGCGGAGTCACTCCGGAATTTATTCTGCTTTATATAACGATCAAATTAAATAAATTATGGCTTGATGATAAAATTTACTCGCTGGGTGTTTCGCCTTGTACTTTAATGCACTCATTTGCAATTTTCACGCTCCGAGGCAGATGCTGTCAGTCGATTTAATTGACGGGGTTTCGTATGGATACGACACTCTCTTCCTGGGGGACGATCATTGATTGACGGACCCGTTCTGTCGTGGACGTTTCGTTATAATGAAAAAGGAGATGAGACGTTGGAACCTCTTGATTGCTTTGTCAGAGGTCATCGAGGGATATCACTTGGATGTGCCTCATCGAAAAATATATCAAAAATATGCATAACATGGCCCAATTTCTCAGAATCCCACAATTTCCAAAGAATATATTGCCAATATATACAAAGTGTATATTCTTTTAAATATAGTTCGTTTCGCTTCTGATCATACAGTTTACAAACTTTCCTTACAGAAATGTGAAGGGATTTTGTTAATGTGAACTTCAATTAATTACCAAATGATTCAATTATAATATCATTATTTATTATTATTATTTTCTTTCAGAGAATGTGACCATTTTTGTACCAAATTCTATCCCTCGTCATATTATTCATGACATGTCAAAAGAGTTTGATAGTGAATTCTCATGTCTACTTGCCGGAAAAAAACTTTAATTGATTTAATTTTCAATTAATCAAAAATTGAAATTCATATAGTAATTTTTCAATAATGATATCATCATTGATTTTACTATTTACTTATCTTCAAGGAATGTTACTTTAGTTTTTAAAATTCCTGTCTACTATCCATGAGATATAATATATGAAATGTATTGTTTGTAGGAGGAAAAATATATCACGTGCTAAATAAAGATTCGGGGGATTTATTTAATGGCCACGGGAATATTTAAATACTTGAAAGGGGAGTAATTTAATAATTTTTACCTGAAAATGTGCTCTCGCAATCGCGACAGGTGTGAAAGGCAATTGCGCGGACCACTTGAGTGTCGTGCCCTCGTAAACCAGCAGGGTGTCCGTGTCGGCGACGACGAGAACCATCAGCTTGCCGTCCGGTTCTCCAGTATCGGAAAAAAGAGGATTGAGCATTTTTCAGAATGTTAATGAAATTCGCGAGGATGACATGTGGGCTGGGGAAGAATTGAAGTTTAATCATTTTGGGAGGTCCATGCCCCAGGCTAAATTCAGAACATTTTACGACCAATAAAAAGCTACTTCTCTTCCCTTCCCCTACAATATCATTTATCTGAGCTCAAATAGTTTATCAACAATCACTTGAAGTAATAAATTACAATGAATTCCATGCATTCGTACGAATGGGTTTTCCTCCGTTGCGAAAAAGGACGAAATAAGGGAAATTATGAAATTTTTGTAAAGCTCATAAAGAGCTAGAAAAAAAGTAATTACAAACGTTGTGCTGCCTCTCATGGTGTCGGAGATATTTCCAAACTCGTAAAATTGTATTTCCACTTTCAACTGTGGATTTCCACCCGTTTAAAAATCAGTAATTTGCAACAATTTGCACAAAAAATTAACGAATGATACATTTGCGAATCCCTAATGGGATGCTCTCCCCTCATTGAATTCTCGAGCACAATATCTCCCCCCATCCATGATTCAGCACGAAATTTCCTTATCTACAATCCATCGACAACCATCAACTCATGCCTATTCACAAGGTGCGAATCAGTGCCGTCTATTTTTAGATATAATAAATGGTCATTTTACCAATTACATAAGCATGAAAACATAGTGGTGTGTAGTCGAGTCTCTTGGCGTATTTAACTCCGGTGCAGTTATCACGGAAGCAGTAGAGATTCCTCTCCCCGAGGACAACGATACCGACCTCGAAGCTAGTGAGTGTCACTGGTTCAATTCCAAGTACAGCTTCACCAAGATTATAAATCCAATCAGGTTCAAGTGACTTGTCCTCTCCCTTCATCATCCTTTCCTCAGCTGTTCTCCCGAATTCCGCAATATTTTGATACCTGGCAGATAATCACTCCATCAAAATAAAGTCCAACCCAATTTGCCATTTTTATTTCTCCCCCTCATTAAGAAAAATCTATCCCTCATTTTTCTAACAGCCTCGTCATCGCTGCTCGATCTTATATGGTTATACATACCTCGTAATATACATTATTCATTGGGAATACTACTCTCGACTATTTGAAACGGTCGTAAGTGCGCTCGGCATAAATTATTTATGCTTACGCGTGTACTCCGGCCTCTCTCCACATCTCTCTCTCTCTCTCTCTCTCTCTCGTTTCAGTATCTCAGACAAACTATGTACCCATTTGATGCAGTGAAAACAGAGATTCAAAAACAAAACCCTTGAGCGCAATCATCCGAGTTCAAACAAATAATACCCAGGGTAAACTGATTTAATGAAAAATTAAAAAAAATACCAAGTGTTAACTCAGAAATAACAGATCCACGTGTTTTGGTGTCGCGTGCCAATTAAATAAAAGTGTGAAGGAAAACATTCTTTGGGGCGATATGCCGCGTGAGAGGAAAAAACAATTTCATGTAATCATCGAGTGAGGCACAAAAGACCTCCAGTTCTCTGGGTTATGGTGGGTTAAATGGTGGATGCGACCCAATTTGAGACAAGACACAGATTGTGCTACGCTACTTTACATTCAGAGTCAACATAGTTGTCACTGTGGGCGTCGCTAATAGCGCTATTTTTTTAATTCAATAATCTCATGTTTATGACAGAAAAATCGCGTTTTATGTCAATCATCATTGCGCATAAATGTCGTGTTTTTACAGGTACTTGGGTTGTTTACAGATGTATTTACTGTTACAAATTAGTATGCCGATTTTTTGTGGGTGTTAACTGTCGATGACATCCTTAAAGGCATGAGACTCAACAAAAAAAACCTGAGGTGGTTAGATTGTAGAGAATTTTTCCTATATTTTTCGGCTTTCTTTTGATGATTGACCATTTTTTCGCTAAGCGGGATTTTGTTCCAGCCCGATTTAACTCTGGTTTATTCACTTTTGCGCAATGGAGTTGAAACGATATTATTGGATTATGACTTATTATTGAGAATATTTTACTCCTTAAGATTATTGGTACAACAACGAATCGGAGTGGAGAGAGCCGGAGTGTTAATATAAACATAAACAATGACTTCATAGGGAGAATGAACTGAGAGTTCTTTGTTAATAGATGATAATATTCTTTTGGTCTTTGTGACCGATATTTAGTGTGCTCCAGCAGTCCGTAGAGTGTAGACGTCACTTCCTCGTGTCATATTAATAATAAAATAAAGTAAAGTTCAATTAACTGCGTTATTCTTATAATTATTTCTTGACATTATTTCTTCATTAGATATCGAATCAAACTGAAAAAATAATTTTCACTTATCGCGATGGATATTGTGGGTCAAAATGGCTGGAGTTCTTCCATCGAATGTGACGGAATTCAGTTCAGGCACTGGAATCGAATGGGTCACAATATTGAGAGTAAATTTACTTGACCCGCTCCATATAATTGAATCCAGGATAATTTAATGGGTTCGATATTAGCCCCAAAATCCTAAATAACCTGCCTGTAACACTCGAGACACCATCCAGGATTTGTCGTGACAAAGACATCATTTTTCGGTGCATAAGCAATTGGTTCAGGCAGCAACCGATTTTTCATCGGCTGAACAAACGTATGAGTCTCCTGTTCATAAAATAACATTGTACCATCTATACACTGAACGCAGAAGAAATCACGACCACGTGCAGCACCAAATGGTCCAACGATGAGTGATGCAGGAAAACGCGGCAACTCGTGCTCGTAAGCAACTTCCAGAAGGCACCGATCACCTGCAACACAACAGCAAAATGAAATAAAAATAAATAAACGAATGGAAAAAATGGAAAATTATTTCAACGGGATTGAATTACTCCACTTCCATATGCGTTTGCTTTGGCGTCCTCGGGGTTATAATGTATCGGATTCGCAAAACCCTGAGACCGGCCAATTAACGTAATGAGCGCTGCGTTCAATCGCCGGTATAACGTATATACAACCCCGGCAAAGATGCATTCCATTCTTCCCTCCTCTTCTTCTACGTTTCTACGAGACTCGCACAAGAGCAAGAAAACATACCAGCGGGAATATATATTCTGCGCGGTGGTTCTGGATAATTAAGGATATGGTCACAGTTTCGGCTTGATGATTGGATAAAAGAGATTTGTTGCCTTGATTCGGGGGAAAAATATATGTGACATTATTTTTCAGCAATTGACTTGAATTTCACCCACACAGTTGACCCTCGCCATTTTACTAATTGGATTGGATACTTGATTCATTGTGATTCATATTATCAGTCACGTCGACTTGACCCTCACTATCTTACCCATAATAATAATACATATTGTATCAAGTATGGACTTGAATCATATAATTTGACCCACATTGTGGCTTCAATGGGCTTCACCCTCACGATCTAATCTGCGCCATTGAATATCGCGAGTCAAGTCCACGGAGAGAAAAATTCTTAAAAAATTACGTGCCTCTTCCGTAACCTGCCAGTCAAAACAATATTCAGTAAAAATTACGGAACAGTTACGCACTTTTTCAGTGGACTTGCCAGAAAAAGTCCAGAACGTTCACAAAAAAGTATGGAACGTTCAGTGAAAAAATGCGTAACTGTTCCGTAATTTTTACCGAATACTGTTTTGACTGGCAGGTTACGGAAGAGGTACGTAATTTTTTAAAGAATTTTTCTCTCAGTGTCGACTTGAATTACACGATTAGTCTTAAACATCATCAGTCAAATATATTCCAAAGACCCAAATCCCATACTGAATTCGATTTAACGCACCAATTAATGCTGAAAGAAGTTCTCCTCCAACTGGAAGAACCTAAAGCTGTAATAAACAATGCAATAAACCATCCCAACTTCATGATTTCCCCATAAACCTGCCATATGGACACTTAAGAAACCCAAAATATCTCCATAAATTGTAATCCTTCTGTCTTGAGAACTGTCAATAAAATTGATCCTCCCCTCCCCTAATAATAAATCAAAACTGATATTATGGCGAATAGAGCGCAGGGTTAATCGTAGTGAAACCCACCTTGATTCCCTTCATAAAATGTACACTGAGAGAAATATTCAATAAAAATTACGTGTATTTTCCGTAATTCTGGAGCGAAATGTGGTTGTCGGAAATTTTACGGAACTGTCACGTAATTTTTATCTAAAGTCACGGAATTTTTCCGCGGTGTTCCGTAATTTTTATCTGAATTATCTGTGAAAAATAACGATACCATCACTTAAATTTTTCGAATCAACTCCGTAATCGGTAAGTGAACTGAAAATTCCGTAATTTTTACTAAATACTTCTCTCCGTGTACCATCAAAACAAATTCTACAGCTGTTATGATTCGAATCGATGGTAACTTGAATGTGACTTGACTCGATGTGGGTCAAAGACTTGAGTCTGGCTCCACGACGACAATCGCCGAAATGATCGAGTGATACGGGTAAATGACTGGAGGAGAAGGCTGGAATCAATAAAAAAAAGAGATGGAGGAAAAAACAAGAGAGTGGTGCAAGTAAATCGATGACGATCATAACAAGATCTGATCTTCACTCGGCAACCGGTCGAGCCTCCCAGTCTCCTCTTGATATGGGTCACGAGTCACGCGTACTCCGAGACGCCTCTGTGATGATATAAATTCGTTGCATGTCTCATTCTCGTTGTATATATCTGGGTGCGTAAGTACAGTGTACTCTCTAGCGCAAATGATGATACTCTAACGACATGTAGACCTGGCAACATCGGCTGGTGGCTCACTTGTCTTTTGATATGATAAAGTGAAGCAACGATGAGTCTAATACTCAACGTCGCGACGGAGACGTCATACAGCGTCTGGGGCACGGTGTAATGTCGTGGATGGATTATTTTAGAATTTCAAAGGTCGCTATCTGAGACTTTAAAAAGTCTCAGGTTAATACTTTCAGCAGTCAAGTTCAGACTTACCAATAAATTCACTTCAGACTTTTGAAAGTATCAATTTATGACTTCTAGAATTTAAGACGGGAATTCGTTTAAGTCTTCCCTGAAGTTCTTTGTAAGTTTTAAAAATTAATACTTTAGGGTCTTAACTCAAAGCACTTGGAAGCTTTGTTGTAAAACTCAATTAAGTGCTAATCAGTCTTGAAAGTTTCAAGTGAATACTGTCAAGACTAAAGTTGCGACATCGACTGAAATGTAAATTCTTAAAAATCCGAAATGAAGTCCGAGAGACTTGAATCTCTCACCTTCTCGAACTCAACTTGAGCTTCCATTTCATCCAGCTGCCTAGCAGCATGGATTAAAAAAAAACTAACCAACTCAAAAAGAAATATGCACATGAAAAATCGAAACTGTTAGACCGACTCAAAAAGTCAAAAAATATGGTATTCTGTCTCCTTTCCTGCAAAAAAAAATTCACAGATGCACGGATTTTAAATACATCGAAGAAATATGTGAATACCAACAAAAATGTAATATATTGTAACAAAAAATATTGAGAGTGTAAACGACCCAACATGATGAATAACATAACTTTAAGACGATAATAAAAAAACTGAAAACGTCTGATCTTTGAATTTTCCGTCTTCTGCTGTGAGCAATGATTCCTTGAGATGCTTTCGCTGAAGACTAGACCTTCGAATAATGACTGAAAAATATCTCTTTCATTCTCCCCCGGGGCCTGAACGGTGATTTTTGGAGTCAATTTTTCTTCGGTATGAAATTTTTCAACCCCATCCCCCGCTGAGGGTCTCGAGTGGGGATACCCCTGCGTCTGGCGAACTCTTGGAGATCGGGACAACAAAAAAAACCGTGAAATAATATGTATACGGTGATTAAAGATGGAGTTCGACGAACCATGGTCTGTGGATCCCGCGGTGAGTGTAACACCATAAACGACGAGTTTCGTCGGCATCAACACACCAAGACGAACATCCTGAGAACCCCTGTAAGCAGAGTTCGAAGGCGATTACGTTCAGTTTTTAAGGTGACGTGGAACGATTCCCTTTTTTTTTAAAAAATATTCCCTCATCGTATTAACTGTCTCGTACAGGCTATGGAACACGTGCACTTTATGAAGCCACTCCATTTTCGTGGAAACTGGATTTAATGACGCCAAAAACATGAGCCGGACAGTCATTATGGGGGGGAAGACATCGTAAATGTTGTAAATATGGTGCTTGATGGAGTTTAAGGACCATCGGGTGTCAAAGAATGATTTAAAAATTCATTAGGGACTCATTTTTAAATGATGATTTTTACACTTGAATTTCAGGGAACATGGATTTTATTTTTAGACCATTTCACTGCAGAAGCGAGGGAAATATTTATCGAATTTTTAACTTTCAACATAACAATTCCTATTATCATTTACTGTTCTGACGAATTTTGTTGTGATAACAAACCATTTAACAATGACATTTACACCCAAGTGGATAAAGTGTTAAGGAAAAATGTGGAATTTAAGTGAAATTTAGGTGTTTTTTGGCTTGAGATTGTACATGATCAAGTTGTGAACTAATACAAAAGTAAAAATTTGATTCCCAATGAGTATCTCTACTTAAAAAATCCAGGGAATTATGAAAGGATTGTGTGACTTACAGTTGAAATAATTTGTTAATAATTTACTCACGACACGAATTTTCCCGATTTAACGTCGATTATGCAGTCTGCAATTTTGGTTTCTATCATGAGATCGGTAAATTTGTAACCGCTTGATGAGTTTGTCTCGTCTATCCATTGCGCCGAGGGCTTGTAGATCCTGAGATTGCCACTGTGACTAGCCACAATAATTATATCACGTTTTTCCTCACCAAAGAGAGGCACCACCAGCAGACTCTGGCCGTCGAATGTTTCCGAGTTTCCACATTCTGTTCTCCACCATTCTTTCGTCCGAAAGAGGGACATTATTGCAAGTTTTGGGTAAAGTACTGGGTAGGCATCGAAGTAAATTGCAGAGTAGTCGGTGGACTTGGGGTTGTCGAGATGCCGCGGACGTTGTCATGGCGATGCCATCCACAACACTGGGGAATCATTACGAAACGAATATTAGTTTTTTTAATCCGTCATAAACTTAATTACTGTAATCTTTTTGGAACACGATACCAACCTAAATTGAATTCAACTTTTGTATCAATTTAATATTCAATTAAAAAAAAAGTCACACAAAATTAAAAAATAAATTACACTTGTCTTTTGATCCAGTGTTACTTATAAATAGAATCATGGAGTAGAAAAACTATTTGAAAATAAATTCAAAAATATGAATAAATAAACATAGTGAAATTCATAAAAATAAATTTTTTCCAATTTTAGTCATTGTATTGAAAAATTAAAATCAACTAGATTAGTTTTTGTTGTTTTGTTGAGTGTTTTTATCTTCTCATCTACACTTGTAATAATTCTCTTCCTCCGAATTTAATAGTTCTAATTGCGAATATTTTTTCATTTTCAATTGAATTCATTATTGGATAGAGAAAAGTGGAGAAAAATTAATGATTCCCCGTTAGTCACGTACCGGAGATTGATATTATGGAACAAGTTTGTACTTTCTCTGTCAGGAGATGGTGAGAAGGTCGTGTCCTGAATTATTCAGAATAATCCGTTTGAATTCGAATTTTTCAGAAGGTCGTCAGGTGTTCTGGAAAGATGGCAGCACCAACTTGATAACTTCGGTGGGTTTCCATCGAGCGGTAAATTGTCCAATCGAAAATTACTGTAACTACTGAAACAGGAAGAGAAGGCGATCAGCTGATTCGGCGGAACTCCGGACAAACTGACAGGTGTTGTCAAGTTTGGAGTTTACTGCATTTATCTATTTTTTTCAGCAACTTTCACTGAAACCTGCACCTTCGAAGGACAATGGAACCTCAGGATATCTACTATAACAGGGCGGAGTACGTTGAGACGGTGAGAATCAATTTTTTTAAACAAATTTGTTGACAGGCTCCAGGTAACCTATTGTTTTTGACAGGCCTCAGGCAATAAAGTTAGCAGACAAACTGTTCTCTGTGGCTCTCAGAATATCGTTCTGCATGGAAAAGTCATCGTCCAGTCTGATGCCATCATCAGAGGGGATTTGGCGAATGTTAGGACGGGACGATACTGTATTATCAGTAAAAATGTGGTCATCAGGCCGCCCTTCAAGAAGTTCAGTAAAGGGTGAGTTCATTCGCCTGACACTCAATTGTTCATTACACCCCGCAAGAAAGTCGTGAAACAAAAAATTTTTCATTATTGCCCCTATTTTTTAACAATTCACGTACGAATTTTTAAATATTTAATTTAATATAAATACCTAAAGAATTCTTCGATTAAGCTCTCAATTTTTCTATTACATTTTATCATACGACTTCCTGCAAGAATATTAAGTACTGAAAAGAAATCAATTTTTAGTCCGTAATATGCAAAAAATTAATGTATTAAATATTTATGGAAATTTATACGTTTTTTTTATGAAAAATATTTCTGTAAATTCCCCTCATTGAATTACTCAGCTGTTTATTCGAAAAAACTTCACAAATTGAGAATTTATGTTATTTTTCTGCGTCATATTTTGAAATTTTGTAAGAGTGAACTTTCTGTATCAATTACGTAAAAATGAGAAATTATTATTGAGAGAACCACAAGCAATGAAGATAAACTGTAGCTAACTTTGAAGTTTGAAATACTCCAGCTGACGAGAATCTTTGATAAACAGACTGAAGTATTTCCAGAAGTCCAAACATCTATTCCGATTAAAAGAAACACTGCTGAATCACTGATTCATAGTCTCTCTGGAATACCGATGGCGAAACGTTAATATCCTAGACTCAGAAGACATACAATATGAAAAATCTTTCCATCTTTTTTATCAATCGGCAAATTAAAATGTCATATGCATAATTATAATATACGAAATTACAACAGAAGTTCAATTTCCCTCTGATAAATTCACTCGATTATGAAATTCGTAAGTAGATTCTTGTTTACGTAATGCGTCAAGCCTTGAACTGCATAATCTCCATTCTTTTCAACTGTTTTAATGTCAAAAAAAAATTGCAGAGTTGCGTTCTTTCCCCTCCAAATGGGTGACCACGTCTTCGTCGGGGAGAGAGCAGTAGTGAATGCAGCTGTTGTCGGATCTTACGTGTACATTGGGAAAAACGCAGTAATTGTAAGTATTTTTTGCTCAAATCTCTATATAAATGAATTCGCCAATAATCATCATATGTATATCCCAGGGGAGACGATGCATCCTGAAGGACTGCTGTTACGTCGCAGACGGCGCTGTTGTCCCCCCAGAGACGATAGTTCCTCCATTTACGAGATTTGCTGGTAATCCAGCAACACCTGTTGAAGATTTACCCGAATGCACACTCGAGTTGATGGTTGATTTCACGAAAAATTACTACCAACATTTCCTCCCTGCAACCCCCTAGTCTTCATTAACAAAGTATTAGAATTAAGACGCCTTTGGTACAAATAGAAGCTGCCGCTGTGCGGACAAATCTTTGGACCATCAATTCTGAACGAAAAAATAAAAGGAGATTTTCAACACTTGCCTGGAAAATTCATTCATTTTCTACAAACAGAATAGTCGGAAGAGAGAGAGAATTGAAAAGTACAAACAATTTTTATAAATGCTCAAAAGTATGAGGTGGTCGACAGACGTGGAAGCCGTCATTTTGATTATACGACGCAACGGGTTTTAAAAATGGCGGCGCCTCATCTCGTACTTTCAAATAATTATTAAAATTATTTATCCTCTTCAACTCACTCTCAACTAGTTTCATCCTAGTTCTAGAAAATGAACAATTTTTTAAAGTGATTTAGCAGATATTTTACCATTTTTCGCGGAGAATTCATGACGCATCGTTTTTTTCGCATTGCAGTAGTTTTTTTTTGCTGAGGCCTCGTAACAGTAATTTTTGTACCAACCATAAATTATTATTTAATTCACTTTTGTGAACTTGAATTTATTGTGAGAAAGGAGAATTTTTTATGAACCAGATTTTCTTTTTCGGCTAAAATTGTAAGAGCCCACTTGAAGAATTTTCAAAAGTATTGTCGGCCCTGAAAAAATACCCCAGATGATCAAGTTAAAACGAAAAAATGATGAAACTTATAGCTCCATAATTACACAGGCTGCCTCTTAAATATTCGTGGATGATACTTAACCAATTAGCATATTACACGGGGCTAGAAACTTTGCGCACAAAACAGCAACCATCTTCAGATTCATAATTCATTCCAGATGCTCAAAACTGGATGGAAAAAATCATCAAGGATTCCCGTAAATTCCGAGGCTCGTTTTTATGACTCATGTTTTCAAGCTGCAAGTTTTACATGAATCAAATTAATGCTTCGAATTTTGCCATGTCTTGTTCACTGCTCACTCGTCAGTGCATCTCATTTGAATTTACAAAGGTGTTTCTCTTCATTTCACTGTGTTTATCGTTATTCAACAATTCTTCCTCAAATGCAGTAGGAGTGGACTTCTTGACTTTATCGAATTATAAATCTGCACTGAAGCCACAAAAAGAAAAATTGACGAGAAAAGAAAAGGTCGAGGAACTGATGTCAAGCAATCTTAAATTCAGACACGACATCTGAGAAAGTCAGACCTATAATCTTCCTAATCATAAGTTGGTACCAACTTCATCGTGTGATTCAGGATAATGAGAGCTTCGTGATGTGGAGGCATCAATTTGGAGCTTTCTTTCTCCCCTTCCATTTGCATTTTCTCCAAAAGAATGGAGAAACACTGGAACTAGTCAATTATGAATTATTCAATCCCCTCTCAGCCAGAAAAAATACGAAGTTCTTTATCGCGTCGAAAATTTCAAAATCATATGAATCACAACGATTTGGAAATACGGAAATTCTGAGAACCATCAAATACTTCAAGTCAATAACTTGTAAATAAGAGGCTCTTTAATTTCGAATTACTTTATTTACGAAATTTAGAACAATGAAGATAACAAAATTATGAAATCTACAGGTCTAATGACCATACATTAAAATAATTCGGCGAGAGAAAAAGAACATATACGAAACATTATCTATTTCACGTATTATAAAGTCGACAATAAAGTTTACAATGCCTTGATAACAAAGTTGATGGGGGTTCTCTCCTATCACTGTCACTAAATGAGTATTGGTGATAGCAAAATTGATAGTTTGTTTACTGAATGATACAATTTGAAATGGAATAATCTTATCGGTATCAAAGTAACATTCTTTTATATCACAGAAAAGGAAAAGAGGATGATGTCGTTTGACTTCGTAGCGATTTAAATAGTCGGATATATATTTATGATGTTTTATTGTTTAAAGATATTCATCACAAGTATTCAAAGGAAAAATTATACAATCTGACGTCAACCTAGAAGAATTTGCTGAATATTGGTTAGATTCTTAATTGAAGTGATTGTCCAACAGATCTTGAACTCGATCACTTCTCAATGATTGTTTCCCTGAAGTTCTATCTGCTTCCGGTGAAGACTCGTGGAGTACAGTGTCATGACTCCGAGTTTTAACGCTAGAAAAATCCAAAAGAAATGATTTTTGTTGGAGTTGGACGAGCGGCTGGTCACTTAAAAAAACACTGAACCATTCGATTAAAAATGAAGGAAGGTGTCAGTGAAGATTGAGGATCTATAGAAAAAATTAAAAAAGATCCCTCAAATTTCAACTTTTAAGTTTGCAATTAAATTATTTTCAATTGTAGGCCCTGCGATATATGAACTGTTTATATTTTGTCGGGCAATATCAAATATCTCGTTGTGACCAGCCCCTCAATCATACTTCAAGTACTTGTCGCACCATCTTTGCCAGATATTTTCAAGTAGAAGAACAATGAAGCTAATTGCGCATCCATAAATAATTGCGACGATGGCAACATAACAATCGATGATTCCCACACTCACGAAACTAGTGCTCCCCGTGCAAATCGGTTTCTGGGTGAAGAACTTCGATGCGACTCGAGGTTTCAGTCCTGTTTCAGCAATCCACAACGCACTGTTAAGAAATTAACGGATTGATTTCTCTTCCAGCATTAGAATCCTGAATAATAATACGAGTCCAACATAGATCAAGCTGTTATATTTGATCTGATGAGTATAATCAACACCAACCCGACGCGTATGATCTCTCGAAACGGTGACTGCTTCTCGATAACTAGCAAAGGGTCGTAGACCTTTAGGTAATCGATCTCCTCGATCCCGCACTTCTCGACCTCCTCGAAAGTTTCCTGCATCATTTGATAGCCAAAGCCCAAGTCTACGTGAAAAGCGAACAGTCCCTCTCGCACCCTTTGAATGCCTTCTTCGAGGGGCATCCAAACCGCCGGCTTGTCCTTCACCAATCGCTCGTAGAATTCCTTCCTGACGGGGTCTTCAAAGGCCTAAAATAGATCCGCAAGACTTCAAACTAAATTCTAGTACAAATCCTCAACATTATCCTCAATTATTATTCAAATAATAATTCAATCTACAAATCAGAAAAATCGATCTCGAGTCAATTCATCCTCAACTGCTTTGGTAACTGGAGCAGATTTCTTGAATTTAGTTATAGTTTAGAAATGTATGATTCATAATCAATTGAAGAGATTGAAGAAACAATTTGGGCAAATTTGGAATGCTGGGAATACCCCGAAGTAGTATCTGTTGTAAACGATATCGAATATGCCGATTTTGAGAGGACTGTTCATCAGATCGTCCAGAGTTTTTATGGAATCGGCTGTGGATTGAAGGAGTGCCACGATGTTGGCGGTGTATGCAGCGTATAAACTCAAGGCTATCAGCAACATCATTAGAACGACAATTCGCGTTGAAATGGTCCGGGGCTCGCAGTAAAAACCTGGAAATCCAAAAACAGCTCCATGATAATAATTTGAAACAATAAAATAATAAAATAATAATCATTTCTTTTATGTCCCAAAATAAAAAGCGGCAGGCAGACTTAACCGCCGCCATCTTGATTTGATGACGCAGTGGTCTTAAAGATGGCGGCTCACCACTTCGTCTTTTTAAATGATTACTCAAATTATTTAATCTCTCGAGATAACTTCCAACTAGTTTCAATCTTTTTCTAGAAACTGAACAATTTTCTTAAATGATTTTGCAGATATTTCTATATTTTTTCAGAGAGTATTCATGACCCAAAATATTTTTCGTTTAGCCATGTTTTTTTTAAGCCGCGGCCTTGAAACAGTAATTTTTGTTCCATAACTCTAAATTATTAGTCGATTCAGCTCCACAAACTTGAATTAATTCAGTCCCGGTAAGATTTTTTATAAACCGGATTTTCTTTTTTGGCTAAAATTGCAAGATCTTTCTTGACGAATTTTCGAAGGCATTCTCGAGCCTGAAATATCCCTCAGATATTCAAGTTAAAAAATGATAAATAATAGAATAATAATTTTATGAAGTGGAATGAAGGAGGAATCAAGTGAGGAAGAAGGAATATGATAAATACTGATTTCAATATTGATTTCATCAGCGGATTCTTTCTGAATGTACCTTGTTGGAAAGCAGCACCAAGTAAAACAAGAAGATTATCAGTGATCGTCGGTTTTCTCTCCAGATCTCCTCCCAGTCGACATTCCATCGGTATCATTTTCAGGTTCTGCCACTCCCATTTCATAGTTATGCATAAGAATCCAAAACTGATAACCAGAAAAACCACGATGGCGATCCAAACAGAGCGGGCAAAGGGCAAAGTGAAGATATTGCTGATGTATGACAATGGAGGTCGTCGGAACAAGAATCTCGATCTAAATTTTCCAATGGCCACTCAATAAACAATAATCTTAATGCAGAGACGATATGATCACGTACCCCGTAGGTGTGTATAATTGCACGTAATCAACAACTCCAATTCTTTGTGATATCATGAAGGTCGCAGTGCCTCCGATATTAATCTCCCCGCGATCCAACAGTCCGATCATCCCGTTCCAGTTGCCATCCTCATCTTTGTAGCCCCATGTTCGCTCTACGGTGAAGTTGAAGCTGAAAGAAAATGAGATTGTGAAGACTTTTTCATGGAACTGCCTTCAATGCTCCTAACATGATGCCAGTTGGTTTTTTCTTCAAAATCGAATTTGTTAATTAGCAAACGGATGCTAGCGCCTAGAATGGTTTAGTACGTGATAGTCAAGACATATCAAAGAGAAAAAAAACAGACCTATGACTTTTAGAGAGGGAAAGTAACTTTTTTTTAAATCGCCATTTTCATCAATTAACTGTTGATATCGTATGCATTCATCCGGTTGATGATATTTACGAAAGCTCAAAATTGTCAAAGAAACAAACAAAAAATAATTGTCCTTCAGATCTGAGGACTAATTCGTAACTTTTGGAGAAGGAAGGGATCATTTTTTAGAAATAGAATTTTTCCATCCAACAAGTGGTTATTCTGCATATATTCTCTCTGTAGAACATATTTTTATGATATTCCGATTCTTTCTGCCTTCTTTTTGGCTAATTGACGGTACCCCACCCTATAGATGTGGCTGTGGATCCTACACTATACCGTATTCACTCTCCTATAGAACATATACGAATTACATGGGAAACCACGGGAAAACCCCATGTCTGTATAGGCGGTTGCTCTATTAACAACCTTCCGCTCATCGGCGCATGTGTAAAAATATTCGATTCGTTGGAGGATCGAACTCACAACCTTTAGAACACTAAGTTTGCACCTAGCCCCTGGGCTATCGCCGTCGATGTGTAGATCATGTTAAACTGCCCAAAAGTTATCAAAAAAGTAAACAAAAATTTAATTTCCATCTTGTGGCCAGATGACAATAGAATGTTGTCATGCGTCACGTACTCACGTTGCATTCATGCGTTCTGAAAGATACAAGATCCACATATAACTGGCTTTGGTGACAGCATCAATCAGCTTGTCTTGATAATCAGTAAGATGGTTAAGTGTATTGAGATCCGTCATCTGAAATATAAGTCGGATAAGTCATCAATATAACTCGTCCAATCGATTTCCAAATTCCCGGAAATCGATCAATATCGATGAAAAGATTGTAGGTTGACAGAATTCACCACTAGACTCGTGTTCAAAACAATCCCCTGGAGATTGACCCGCCTCCTTGAAGATTGGTCATAGTTGCAGAGACACAATCCATCTTCATGACTCCAGGTCCCTAGATCCTCGATGATCAAACTCTGACCTGAACTCGGACGATACAAAGCCGAAAGTTCCATAGTTGTCTGATTTAGCCTCTGACTGACGACTACTTCACTGTCAGGAAATATATCGAAGTTGCTTAGGAGACTGACCAGCTCATCATTAATTTCCATCATCAGCTGAGAAAATCCTCCATCATTTACCCGGGAATCTCGCAGAATGATCCATTTGGCAGGAGCAACGAATTGTCCTCTGGTGTTAGCCTGAACAGATAATTTGGCGACTTTCACCAGTACCAGGTAAAAGAAATATGCAATACCTTTCTGAGAAACTCAACCCCTTCCTCGCAATCAAAATCAACGATGAAGTAATGATTGTGATCGATTGTCTCATCGATATCAATCAGCTCCGAATCGTTGAAGGATGCGATTCTGTGAAGAAGATAATTCCGAGAGATTTGCCTCGAGAATTCTGCAGTATTGACTACAATCCAAAAGAAGTACAGTATTATTGGATTTCGCCGAGATGTTTCGATCATCACCTGCGTCTGCGCAGAAAAATGCTGTGAAACTGGAGGAGACGAGTAACGATGAGCTCATATCAGTAATGAAGCTTCCGATCATTGAATCGATATTGTGGGATGCACTGAGAGTCAACACGGTGAGCAATATCCACATAATTATCAAGGAGCCCATCTTACGTTTTGTGAATGGCAAATCAGTAGATTATGGAAACGATTCCCCCAACATTTTATCCACCTTTCCCTAATTTATGATCCATGAACGAGTGGAAATGTGAATGGATTTAATGAAATTATTCTCAAATCAACGAGATATCTCATGAAGCATCGCTCAAAACGCTGAACTGAATGATGAGCAGTCGACGGTTAACATCGCAAACAAAGGAAGTGCAAGTGGTGGTTAAAGCTCTCAGGGATTCAAGCCTAATGACAAGGGGTATCCTGCAATTGTTGGATAATAGTATGGACGTACCGCAGAGCTATACTCTAGAAATAATGAAGGTGTTGGAGCGTTTAAGTATCATTTGGGAGCTTTACGTTCTCACGTGCTATTGCAATTCTTTCTCAATTGAGTTGTCTTCAGTGCGCCCTAGCTCCGTCCAGGGTGAGTAATTATTCGGCGGTACTGATGCATAGTATTAGCCATTACTAAGCACAACAATCGATTTTATTACCGGATTTACTTCCATGACTTTCATGACACTATCAATACTTTACTCTCACGTTATAATCACTTTTTGAATTACGCACTACGGGTGTTCGCCTGTTTTTACTAGGATTTCATCTCCGAGTGTTTCGAAGCTGTGGTCTTGGTTGGATATGGGTGAACTTGCAGTAGATGGCAATTGTTGATCCTCTAGTTCGTCATTGGCATCAGCAGATCTCGTATCACATCTAGAGAAATTTTAGGATTTAGAATGGTTTTAGTAATAGGTGATTGGATTTTACTTTTTGAACCAGAACACTTCACACAAAAGTATCATCAGTGAGGCAGCTAATCCGTAAGCTATAACCAAGTAGGCGGCGTAACAGTCGATAGTTCCAACACTGATAAATTTCTTCTGATTGGTGCAGGTGGGCTTTTTGTGATATATCCTGTCAATGAAACGTTGGGCGAGACCTGTTTCCTCCAGCCATATCCCACTAAGAAGAAATACAATTGATTTGGAGCGTGAGTACAAGTAAAGTCACTCTAGTTCAGTCTTAATAGAAGTTCCTGATGAAAGCACATGATTTTCTATTGATTTTTTCAGATTATTTCTGAGAATATTACCCAACTCTGAAGATTTCTGCATACGGCGATTTCTGTTTGATCGTGAATGTTGGATCCGACGTGTAAAAATAATCGATTTCCTCGAATCCACACTTCTCGTCTTCGGCATAAGTACTCTTTACTACATCATAGCCCATGGTTAAGTCAGTGTGAATAGCAAACATTCCAGTTCTCACTTTTTCGAGACCTTCTTCGACAGTCATGTACGGTGTTTTGAGATCTCTGATCCGTCGCTCATAAAATTCCTTCCTCAGAGGATCCTCGAATTTCTGAGAATTCAAAACATCAGAACACTAA